AGACCCATAAAGGTGAAATCAAGGCATGACAATTCACATACAAGATGACTTGGTATAGCAAGTTTAAGAATTACTTACACTACTAACACATGAGAGTATTTTCATAGACACTTGAGTGAAATACCAAATGGAAATCTCATAGCGGGTCATATTTAGTGAACTTGTTACTTGACAAGTACCCATATACTATCCCCAAGTATCTCACATACTTCAATTTATGAGATTAATTGCTTACTTCCAAAGTAAGGAGGCTTAACATATACTAGCCTTTGAGTATTGTCAATGTCCTTATTCTTGGCAATACAATGATCAGGAACATATTTAGAAACAAGGCTTTGATGCATAAAAATCTCATAATTATAACCTTTATAATTTCTTTTCAAAGCCATTATATTTCAAGGACTTTATCTACATAAGTCTTTCATAACACTTTATAAATAAACTCATGGATAAAGAAATACCTCATGCATCATATAAAATAACCATAATGTATTTAATATGAAATCATACATCATATAAAATAACCATAATGTATTTAATATGAAATACGATTAATTAATATAGTGTTTTACAAGCACAAAATCGATTGGCTTGCAAGGCTTACACTAAAATCTTGATCATCACATGCTTTTTCATGATTGGCTATTTTTTTGGTTATCACTTTTGAGGCTGTTTTGAGCTATTGATTGATTCACCAATCAAGCAAGGGGCCTTGGAACAAAGGAGTGACTTTTAACGAGATCGACTCATTTCTGGCACACTTTAAGGGAAGGCATTTCGTTTTTTCCAAATATGGTGTCAAAAAATACTCTATATTCTCTGCATAGTGGAATAATGTTGGATTCTGATTACTTGCGGTCTAATGTTGGTTGTTTGAAGCTACGTTGCCGATGCAAATATTCTAAGATAGATGTATTGGTGTTACATTCCCATTGCTACTACTAGCTATTTTTTCCATATTTTAGAATAAGGCGTTTATGTTACTGGCTCAATCTCCTTCTTGTTTCTATTATGTAGGGCGTTGCAAACTGTTTTTGTGTTCCGTTAGTCATGAATGACATTTTATTGTACCCCATATGAGTTTGTATGGCTAGTTCCACTACGGAACTGTTCTATCAGATTCTCTAGTTCCATCTTGATGAAATACACATTTTAACTAAGTACAAAAGCATAAATTGTTTATATAATAACATATATTTGACCTTTAAGGATTTTAGGAGTATATAGGTTTGGGTTTTATTTTGAGGTTGTTATGATTATAATTATATAATCATAATGAATTTTATCTCGCATCTATGGGTATAGAAAAAAGTTCCAACCATGTTAAATTTTTGTTTTGTGTGTAACCTAATTTTTCTTTAATGTGCTTTTGCTCATTTTCGTAACAATGATGTTTTATCAATAACGGAGGCCAATTAATTTTATGTTTGACAAGTAAACCGGTTATAGGTAAACAGAAATCCAAAGGTATGGGCAGTGACATTTAAGGAAAAAAAATTATCTTTTACATCAATTATGAAATTTTTTAAACTTTACAAATAAGTTTTAAGTGTTATAATATGTTCTTAAGTTTATAATTGAAAAAATTTAATATATAAAAAGTTTCAATCTTATAGAGCCGATGTATCTTGTTAGTAATTGTTTGATTTGCTGTGCATGTTAACAATTGGATTCTATATTTGTATTTTAGAATGGTGATAAAAGTTATATTAAAAAAATAAAGTTTATTTGATGTAGTAACAGTGTATAGTGCATAGTTTTTATACATTGTCAGTTCACCAAAAATAAAATATTGCTTGAGTGCACATCCTAACTTTTTCTTTCTTTGGTGGAGAGGGATTCGAATCCTATTCTTTTAGATAAGGAGATAATTCATTAGCTAATGAACTAAATGTTCGGGTGCAGTGCACATCCTAACTTGACGTGTAACACTTTATAATTAGAGTGACTTTAATTTTCATTGTTTTGCTTTTCAATTTTTGAATGATGAAGATGTCTTCATGGAGATGATTGTATGCTCCATGATGCTTGCAAAAAGACCTGGAAAATTCGTCCATGTAAGTCGACACTAAAGAAGTCGTAATTCATCTGATACTGATAGATAATATGGTATTTCCACAAGAGGACAAGACAACCGTGACTCTCACGCACCATGCCACCAGCTTAATGCATGCACCAAGAGAGGGGCTAGGCAGGACCACACCGCCACCATGGCTTCCTTGCTAGCATTTTCCAATTTTATTGTATAAAATGGGTATTTTTTCTTTTTTAGTTTTTCTATTTGGTTCTTTGGTTTGCTCAAACTTATTCGTTTAACCTCTTAATTAACTCGCATCCGAGCATTGGACTTATTGGTTTCAAATACCCCCTCTCCCAATTATATATATATATATAAACTCTTAATTGACTCTTTTATATTTGTTAGATCAGTTCTTTAATCCTTATATTCTCTAACATTGTTTAAAACAGATTTTACTCCATCACATGAAATTTTTACTTTTTTTTTGTTACACACACATAAGATGCCTTTTTTACATTTTACATTTTTTAATACAAAAGTTCCCATTAGTTGTGAACTTAAAAAAAAAAGAACTGTCATTTACATTGAATACAATTTAATGAAGTTTAATTAATAATTTGTGAAAATAAAGTAAAATGTAATTAAATAATACTCTCTTGTCTCTCCATTCCCTTTTGTTCATCTTTTCTATTAATTTCTCAAAATTATGTGGCATTATTTTTCAATGCCTAATACTTTTACTTTAATATATTCTAAATCAATTTTTCATATTCTAGTTTAGTATTTAGCATTAAAGATCATGAAACTTCAAATTTTGAAAAAATTAATGTAAAATACACTAGAGTTAGAATTTTTTCTTAATTGTTGTGAAAACTAGAAGGGAACAAACACAAACAAAAGAGATGAAAGAAGTATTATATTATATTTTGTTAACTTAACGTCTATCCACTTCAAAACCTAACTTTATCCATATCAGTAAGTACTCCATAAAAAGATCTCAATATATAAAACTCTATATGGTCTAGAAATAATTAAACTAAATAAATAATAGAACAATGGGTTTAATTTTCAACATTGCCCTTTTCTTTCTGTTTGTTTTGGTTTCTATATAGTTTTTCCTCAATCACGAATGTGCAAAATCTTTTCTCCTCCTTTCATGTATTAATATGTTGATAAATGACTGGTGTTGGAGAAGATATCTCTTGGAAGTTGCTAACCTCATATTTTGTAGGAACGTAGTACATGTTAAAACTAAAGCATTAATTACTAGTATATGAAAAGTTCTATTTAGCTCTAAATTAGTACGTTTTAATTCATAAATGGCCAGCTTTAATGAGATTATAATGATTGAATAGTCAATAATTCAAAAGGTAAAAAGGATATTTTTGTGAAAAAATTGTTTTAATGACTTATGAGTAGTGGAAAAGATAAATTTGAGTGTGTTGGCATTAATATCTATTGAACATTAACATTGTAGGAATTTAAAAATTTTTGGGTATAAATCTCAAAATTAAAATTTTCTTTAATTGGAAAAAATTAAATCAGTTTCATTTGAATGTTAGGTTTATTTATTGACATTTTCTCAAAGACAAAATGGTGCTTGAACTTAATTTCTTTATTTTTGCCTTTTCTATTATTGGTACAAGGGGGAGCACTAGGTCTCAAATCTAAGATTCCGATTCAAATCTAAGGCCAATTTGATCCTCATTTGAATTTCCATACTATATTGATAGAAATTAAAATTATGTTAAATACTTGTAACCCACAAGTGAATTCATATAATTATTAATTTTTCCACTTAATTGTAAAAGAAAAAGTCAATATTACATTATACTTTAACATCACTTAAATGGACATGTGCACAAAGCATAAAAATATCTGCTCGTAAAGTTTAATTTTGCACTCCACCACTAATATATATAAGTTAATAATCTACTAAATAATTGGGATCAAGGCTCATATTTATTTCGTGGATCATCAAAAGAGATTTTACAAATCCCAATTTTGATTATTTTAAATTTTAAACTATAAAAAAAGGTCCTTTCATGCCACAAGTTCATAGCCACTTATTAAGATTTCTAATAAATAATGTTGGACATTTTCAAATAAAAATATGATTTCATATCGAAATAGAAGGAAAGTTGTGACTGTTGGAAATTAAAAGAAAGGTTGTGTCTATTGAAAATTAAATCAATAGACACTATAAGATAAGAAAAGAGTCACGTCTGTTGGAAAAGACCAACAGAAGCAACTCTTTGAAACAGACACAAATAGTGTCTGTTGAGAACAGGCATCTATGCCTATAAAAGATGCCCCTCCTTAGACAATGAAGATAAGAAAAACAGTAATATCTCTCATTCTTCTTCCTCAAACATCTTCCAAGTTTTCTTCTATACTATTTTCCTGCAGAAAAAATATTATAGAAGTTTGATAATCTTGTTATACTCCGGTGAGTGCTCAGTGGATTGATTTCGTCAGTGCAAAACGCCATCAATCACTGGGCTTCATTGTATCTTCGAGGTTTATACGCCGGTAACTCTTTTGCACACTACAAGTGGGGGCGAATAAAACCTTAAGGACAGTGGCATTGATACACGCCTTAAAGCCAATTTCTAAGTTTTTCAGTTTGGTGTTCTAACAATCTTAAAGTTTTAATCTCGTTCTAACAATGGCTGCTGCAAGCGGAACACTAAGAGAATTGGCTTCTGACTT